AATCAATTTTCTTTTAAATTAAATTATATTAAATTAAATTAGTTCTTTTACATCTATATTAAACATATATGGTGTAGAATGTTTATGTCTATATTAAACATATATGGTGTACGATTAATTCAGACCATGATCATGATTACATTTTAATTAAATTAGTCTATATTAAACTTGAAAAAAAAATATTGAAGTAAATTACCCTTAATCGCTTAAGTGATACAAGGTGTCGCTTAAGTGATTCCGTCTATTTAGCCTTAGTCGCTTAAGCGATAAATTCTTTCGCTTAAGAGATCCTGTCAATTTAGCCTTAGTCGCTTAAGCGATAATAAATTGCTTACGCGATCTTGTCAAAGGCAAAATAAAGGTCATCCAAGTATAGTGGATCACTTAAGCGATCCAGTATGTTCAGAGTTAGTCGCTTAAGCAATCACGTCAAGTCGCTTAAGCGATCACTTACAAGCGAGGATCAGGATCACTTAAGCAATGCTTCACTTTTTCCCTTGGTCGCTTAAGTGATCATGTACAAGGCAGAATCAATACGTGCCCAGATGCACAATCGCTTAAGCGATTTACACTTTTACCCATGGTCGCTTAAACGATCAAGTTCGCGACAGAATCAAGATCTACCCAAATGCACGATCGCTTAAGCGATTTATTGTCTCGCTTAAGAATCAAGCGATTCTTTGCTTTTACCCTTTGTCGCTTAAGCGATCAAGTCCAAGGCAAAATCAAGATCTGCCAAATGCACGATCGCTCAAGCGATTTATGGTCTCACTTAAGTGATTCTTTTCTTTTACCCTTGGTCGCTTAAGAGATCAAGTCCGAGGAAGAATCAAGATCTGCCAGTTGCACGATCGCTTAAACGATTTACGGTTTCACTTAAGCGATTCTTCGCTTTTACCCTTGGTCGTTTAAGGGATTCTAGATCGCTTAAGAGATTAAGTCGAGGCAGAATCAATATCTACCCAGATGCACAATTGCTTAAGCGATTTATATTATCACTTAAGCGATTCTTTGCTTTTACCCTTAGTCGCTTAAGCGATCAAGTCCATGATATTATAAACATTTGTCCAAATGCACGATCGCTTAAGCAATTTATTTTCTAGCTTAAGCGATCCTTTATGAAAAACCCTTTGTCGCTTAAGCGATATATAAGTGACTAGATATATCGCTTATCGCTTAAGTATTCATGGGCAATACATATTTTTTCCAGCTTTTCTCCTGAATTTTGACAAACTAAAATCACCAACACATAGTAATTCCATACCTTCTTCTGAATTTGACAACCTAATTGCATCAACACATCAAGGTCATGTAACAAGAATACTAAATATAAAGGATGATTTATTCAAGGTAACAATAAAATTTAAAACATAAAAAATTGAAAACAACAACTCCTCAATAGTTGGCCTTGGCAACTCTTTCAATTTCATCCTTCTTCGAACCTAATTTTCTGGATCTGCATGTGATTGATTCTAGCAACTGCTTCTCTTATGACAAAGTTGCTTGCAAATTGAGCACTTATTTATCCTCCGAGGAACCTCAAAGGCTGATGGAATACGCTTAACTCTTTTCTGTCTTCTTGAATGGCGGATGGATGACAATGTCAACCAACTCTGGCAGCACTACTCTTCTGGAGGAACCGGATATATCGTTTCTGAATAAGCCAGCATGTAGTGATTTTCCATATAGAGAGGGGAGCAAAGTTCCATGTAAATTCTTGAACCAAAATCCGGCTTCTGTTGGTGTTTCAGTGTTGCTAGTGCATGAGGACAAGGTAAACGTTGAATGTCAAACACTTTACAACTGCAAGTTTTGCTAACAAGGTTAACTAGGGCATCCGGACCATAACCACGCATGGTGCACTCTTGAGCATTAAGAGGATAGGCAAACCGTGCATTTGACAGTTCCATACATTCTCACAATAATTTTTCATCTAACGGAACAAGGGTTGTAGTAAAATTATCTGACTTCATACGACGCTTATGGAACCACCATGACAATGTCCTTTGGATTGCATCAAAAAGAGAAACTATTGGAAACTCTCTTTCTATTAACAACTTCGAATTTATGGACTCGGCTATGTTCGTGGTCATGACATCAAATCTTCTTCCAGGAAAGTAAGCTTTACTCCATCGCTCGAAACCAACATCATGCTCAAGATGCTTAGCAATTCTATCATCCTTAATTCAGATTTGTTGGAAGCGCTCGTCGAACTCATCAATTCGATAAGCTTTTGCTACCATGTAGTATGTCTAAAGAAGGCTAGCACACTTAAATTTTTGTTTTATGTTCTCACCAAGGTGCCTCATACATAATATATGATGTGCTTGAGGGTAAATAATGGCAATCCCCTCATTTATAGAGTTGTGCCTATTAGAGATTATGCACAACTCGTCACTGTCAGGCACTGTCGTACATAATTGTTAAAAAAACCAAGTCCAGGACTTGTCATTCTCAGAGTCAACCACACACCACGCAACGGGATATGTGTGATTCTCGTTGTCCTGTGCAGTGGCCACCAACAATGTACCTCCATACTTTCTCGTCAAAAAGCACCATCAACAACCAACACCTTTCTCATGTTTACAAAACCCCTTATAGCAAAACTGTAAGCAACAAAAAAATGTTTAAACATCATATTCTTGTCCCACTTCAAAGCTGTCTTGCTACCTTGGTTTGTCAACTCAAGCATATAACGGTACGCTTCTAATACCGTGTACCCATGCTCCGGCGTGCCCCTCCCAAAATCCTGTGCATGTTGTCTTCCTTTAGAGCATTTCCAGTAACTAACAGCACATCCCAACTCTGTGCACACAAGTCTCTGAATGTCTTTAGGAGATAGACATTTCCCTTCAATGAATTGACTTTTGACAAATTGTCCAATAACATCAGCGGAGGCTTGTCGATGCTCACCTGAAATATATCTCAAACCACATGATTGCTCATGGGTATATGTGCTAAGAATAAATTTTTTGGACTCCGCCAACCTTCTACCATAAACCCACCACTTGCATTTTGGGTCACAAAATGCACCCGTCACAATCGATGAATTGGACTTTTTGGTGATGAACTCAAAATTATCTCTCATGGCAACAAGTTTTAGCTTCCTCACCACTTCCTCTTTGTTGTCAAATAAATACCCTATGCACAACCCCGATCCATCCTTACAAACATGAGATGATTCACTACTACCTACAATTGCCCCCTCTGAACCTGCATAAAAGACCATGGTGTTCTCTTCCTCACAAACTACACCTTATACATAATCTGTATTTAAAAGAATCTCTACATCTACGGTAACATGTACGGGGTCCTCCTCCTCAACATTTTCATTCTGCCACACATGAGCAACCTCTTCTACAATGTCCTCTTCACCTCCCAAATCACCGTCTACTCTTGATTTTTCAACTAACAAATCAATGCCCTCCTAGATCAAATAAAAACTAGTCAAATCTCTGCCAACTTCCTTATTAACCCCTTCCTTTGAACCAACTTTCAACAGTTTATCTACAAAAGAAACCCTTTAAATCGGCCCCAAACCATTATCAGCCACATCAATCATATATAACTTCATACCTTCATCCGACTTTAATATGGTAGGAGGTACCTCATAATGTTCAGGAACTATGCTTAAAACATACTTCACAACTATATCACTATGTGAGCAACTCAAATCAACTCATCAAAACTAACATATGTACTCACAGCAATTGGTATAACTTCTTTGCTCTTCCTAATCCACTCTAGCAACTTTCTTCCTCCACCCACTCACCAAAATATTCAACACCCAAAACAACTTGTCCTATGTCTAATAATAGCCAAATACCTATAATGCAAGAAAAAAAATATTATTAACTGATGTATTAAGGGTTGAAAGATTTTAAAAAGCATCTGCAAAGTCGCTTGAGCGGTCTGGTGTATCGTTTAAGCGATCTAGTATATCATTTATTAGATCGCTTAAGCGATCCGGTATAAATAAGTCTGATCGCTTAAGTGATCTTATGTCATTTACCTAATCGCTTAAGCGATCTGCTACTATACACCAGACTTATAGCAGATTGCTTAAGCGATCTTCTACCATATACTTGATCGCTTAAGCAATCTACGAACTGCTGCATTATACCATACATACCAAATCGCTTAAGTGATCCATCATATCTATAACACATTTTCAGTCATCTCCACCTGCAATCGGTGCTACCACCCCCAACTACCCACAATACAAGAAAATATTCAACAAATTTCGCTCCTTTCAACTTCCATTACATCAAACACAACCCAACAACCTAAACAACTAAATCAAAATCATAACCCAAACCCAATCCATCATTAAATCTTTGTAAATCAAAATATAAGATGGAAAGGGGAGATACACATACCTGGGCGAAATGTCAAGAGGAGGAGGAGGATCTGTGGCGGAGAAGATGTTAATGGTGGAGGAAGAAGATAGTGTTAATGGCGGGAAAAAGAAGATGTATAGGACGGAGGAAAAAGAAGATGTAAACGAATAAGAAGATGCAAAAGAAGAAGAAGAAGGTGTAGACGAAGCTTACAAGAAACAACAACCAGGGGAGAGATGTGTTAACGTGGCGGGACGAAGAAGAAGAATGTATTTGGGTTTGTTTGCAAGAATTTCGACTCTTTGGGGACATATTATAATTTTTAAAAGATTACACAATACTTCATTAATCCTAATTAACCCCTAATCATGTTTAATTAACCCCTAATCATGTTTAATTAACTTTAATCAATAACAAGGCTATTTACTTAACACTTTCAAACTATATGATCTTTTAATTAAATTTGAACTTTATATTGTCTTTTAATAAAATGTCTTGTAAACAAGAGAGAATAATCGAGAAAGAGAATAGAAGATTTTGGTCTAAACCAATTTAGGTCGCCAAACAAATATCCTGATGAAAAATTCCGGTTATGCCCCTTTCTTCCTTCTAATTGCCTCTGACCAAACATATGAAAGTTTGACTCCACATAGGCACAAATCATGCCATGCACATCAGCACTTCTTCGTGACCTCGAAAGCTCCATGGGAATTCGTTAGCTTTCCAGGGAAGATTTTCCTCTGATATTGAGATCAAGCCATCATGTATTGCATTGCCTACATCAAATTCAATCAATTATAAGTATAAAACAACATATACATCAAATTCAGATTATCATATACTTACCATTAGTATCTATAATTCCATCCTCTATCAGCTTTGTAATATGAAATTGTGGGGCTAAGATTGTAGGTCCATAAGTTACAAAGGCAGCACTTGGAATCCCCATTTTCTGGGCAACTTTCAGTCCCCATTGAGCATTTACATCACTAATGACACATCTGATCTGCTCATTATCACTTGATTGGTTGATATTCTCAATCAAGTCCTTCAACTTACCTGGCATAACTCTTATCATGGTATTTCTACTCTTTTCAAAATCTTTCCGAATATCCCCATGTTCAAGTTCATCTAGAATTGAAACAAACTTTATCAGGCTCCACCCCTCAGATTTCTCTAGCATCGAAGCCATCATTTTTGCCTCGATGAACTCTGTGTTAACAAAGGTGACCTTGACTCCATGTTCAGCAATCTTTGTTGTCAATTTCAGAAGAGGTGCAACATGGCCTTGTCCTGGATATGGTATAACTAATACATGCCATTGCTTGTTCATTTCAGATAGCTTCAATCCCACAAAACTGTTTTTGCTATGTTCTCAACGCTGAAAATCGGAGTAATAAAAAAAAGCATTAAAATAAGAACAAGAACAATAACACATGTAAAAGTACACAATATTTTACCTGGTCCAACATAACTTGCTTACATCCATGGATGAGAGAGTTATTATTATAATAATATAAATAAGATACAGGTATTTCATCACACCATTAACCTAATACCTTTACTTAGGCGGACATCATGTTCCTATGGTATTTAAACCCCTGTGGTATTTTCCCAATACTCTGTGGTACCGTTACATCAAAACCTTCCTCTCTCATAACTTTAAATTAGTTCTAACTCTCTTATTTATAGGTAAAATATGACATTCTTATTCTACTAGGATTCATATTCCTATTTCTAATAGAACTTCTTTAATTTAAATCATTCTCCTATTTCAACTTAAATAAAGTCTTAAACCAATTAATCTTTCCTAATACATCTTACAATAGAAAAGAAAAACAATTATTCTTAAACTAGAAATTTGTCTAAAACTTAAATTCTTTTTTCTTCTTTTTTGCCTTCTCTTCTTGTTTGTTTTTTCTTGCATTTTCCTCATCAATCACTAAAAAGTGTTCACATTCCAACACTCAATACCCAAATAAACCTTTATATCAATTCTGTTTGATATAATCTTATCTTGTACATTCTTAGCTCCTGACTCTTCTCGTCTATGTGATGAAGTTTTTGGCATGTTATGCAGTGATACAGCAAAACTAAAAACTAAGCATTATGGTTTGTTATAACCTTTTGTTTTTCTTGGTATCAGAATGCCTGCTATCACCTTTTGTTTTCGCCTAAGGCATGACAAACATAGGCCTTTTATGAGCTATTGACGATATCCATGTAAAGAACATATAATAATTGATGTAATCCAAGTATTTAATCATTCTATAGTTTTCAGCAACGTTATTTTTAATGGTGTAACATTACATATAGATAAACCGAGACTTCTTTTATCAAATACAATATCTTCTTTGAAGACGTTTAGCTCACCATTTTTTCTTGTCTAGTATTGACAGTAACAAACATAACATCCATTGTGAACATCAATAAATTGCGAGAATCTTACTGGTATATTTTTTGGAAATGAGATACAACAGTATGGCTACAGATATATTAAGCTATGAATGAAAAGATAAAAGGTTTAGAATTTTAATATTTTCTAGAATAAATGGATCATTAATTATTACAGAATATTGAACGCAGTAATTAACTAGACTTCATCTCAACAATAAATCTCTCAAAATTTTCAAATGATGATCCACCTTCAACAAGACTATTAATAGCCGTTTCCTTTAGCTTCAATGCATTTCTTTTGATACCTTCATCACTAAGCAATTTTGTGACCTTTGTCTGTATTTCATGCCTAGTAACAATCCCATTCCCATCTGGGCATAAATTTAAACCAATCTTCCAGGCTTCACATATATAATTTCTGTTCTGATATTGATCCACAAAGTAGGGCCAACACAGAAATGGGACTCCCATGCTTAATCCTTCCAAGGTTGAATTCCATCCACAATGACTTACGAAGCACGCTACAGAAGGATGAGCCAACACCTTTTCTTGAGCTGCCCATTCAACAATCTTTCCTCGGCCGGTTATTCTCTCTTTAAAACCATCTGGAAATCCGGTAAGTGATCCATCCACGAGGTCTGATCGAACAACCCACAGAAATGGCTGGCTTGAAGATTCAAGTCCAAGAGCCAATTCCTCAAATTGTTGCTGATTTAAGGTAGCCGTGCTGCCCAATGAAACGTAAATGACTGAGCCTATCGATTGTTTGTCAAGCCAGCTTAAACAAGTTGAGTCCTCAGGCCTCAGGCTTCCAGCCAAATGCCGTGAATTATTGCTCGCAAGTAATGGACCAATCGGTAATATGTTGGGAACCAGATCACAGGATGATGGGTCAAGTTCATAAAATGAGTTGGAAAGAACCCAGTTCGAAATATTGACAAATTGGACAACAGCACAAATAGATTCAAAAAGAATCTTCTGCATCTTTTCGTTACCTCGGCAGCTCCAACAGATTTCGTTTCTTTTCCAGGGAAGAGTTCCCTCTGATATTGAGATCAACCCATCATTCATCGGGTTCCCTACATGAATTTCAATTAACTGTGAGTACAAAACCACATATACATCAAAATTCAAGTAGTCATATACTTACCATTAGAATCCAAAATTCCATCCTCAATCATCTTTGTAACATGAAATGACAAGGCTAAATTTTCTGGTCCATAAGGTATAAATGCAGCTCTTGAAACTCCCAAGTTTTGGGCAACTTCCAGTGCCCATCGAACTGATATATCAGCAATGACACATGTGATCTGCTCACAGTCACTTGATTGGTTAATTTTCTCAATCAAGTCCTTCAAGTTACCTGGCATTACTCTTAACATGGTATTTCTAGTCTTATCAAAGTCTTTCCGATCGTCATCTCGTTCAATTCCATCTGAAATTGAAACAAACTTTATCAGGCTCCATCCCTCAGCTTTCTCTGGTATCGAAGCCATGACTTTCGCCTCAATAAACTCTGTGTTAACGAAGGTGACCTTGATTCCATGTTCAGCAATCTTTGTGGCCAATTTCAGAAGAGGTGCAACATGGCCTTGTGCTGGATATGGAATAACTAATACATGCGGTTGCTTGCTCATTTCAGATAGTTTCAATTCAATCCCACAAAAAATAACTATGCTATGTTCCTACCCCAAATAGAGTTTTATATCAATTCTGTTTGACATAAACTATTTTATATTTGCTTAGCTCATGGCTCTTTTCTTCTACAGTTATGTTTATGTGTTATGTGACGAAGTTATTGGCATGTTATGTACTGATACGTCAAAACTATAAACTAAACATTATGCATTGTTTTCACCTTGTGTTTTTCTTTGTATTTTATTATGATGCAGGAGATATTTATAATATCTTCTAGATTATTATTTATGATATAATAATACATCTCCACTAGATTACAAAGCCAAGTTGTAATATGCTTTNTCTACAGTTATGTTTATGTGTTATGTGACGAAGTTATTGGCATTTTATGTTCTAATACATCAAAACTATAAACTCACATTATGCATTGTTTTCACCTTGTGTTTTTCTTTGTATTTTATTATGATGCAGGAGATATTTATAATATCTTCTAGATTATTATTTATGATACAATAATACATCTCCACTAGATTACAAAGCCAAGTTGTAATATGCTTTCGGAGGAATCGTGTTGGAATTGTGGACTACTTCAACAATAAAGGGTTACACAAACGTATTCGGGGGTCCCGTTGAAAGATTTCTCTAAGTAATTAATTTATAATTGGGTTTGAGTAGGTATGACAATGGGCCCATGGACCCGCCCTGTATGGGGCGGGGATTCCCCTGTTTTTTTGGTGATAGGGGCGGGGATGGGAGGAGTTTTAATCCCCGTCCCCAAGGGAGGAGGTTGCCCTTCCCTTGCCCATATATATAGGGTGTTTGCCCCGGCCTGAATGGGGCAAATTATCCCCGGAAATATCGGGGATAGGGCCAGGGATGGTCCTCAAAAAAACCCCACCCTCGGGGACAGGTGGGGGGAGGGGATTGTGCAATCCCTGCTTCGGCCTATCAACCCCGCCCCCGTGGAGCCCCGTCCCGCCCCGCCTTGCCTTCTTTTGTTGAGAATTTTTTTTTTCCTTAGCGAGATTGTATATGAAATTAAAGTTTAAACCATGGTTTTAACTTTTAAGTAATGTATCTAAATTTATGATATTTACTTTTATAATATTTTTAATGTTTGGATTAAATTTATAGAAAAAATAATTTAAACGGGGGAGTCTAATAATTAAATATATGTATTATTACTTTATGAATTTCACAAAATAATAATACATGCCCCAAAAATAAATTTGATTAGATTATTACAATTTACCAAACCAATATAAGAATATACACAATTGCTTAACGACTTACAAATTACACAAATTCAATTATCCTTGTAATTAATTAATTGAAAAATTCCCCGTTTGGGGATAAATCCCCAAGGGGGAATTTCCCCGTGAAACCCCATTCATTAGGCCGAGTCGAGGACAGTCATGGGAGTGGATATCGGGGACGGGGAACAAGGTCCCCGGCCCGCACCCATTCTCTCCCTCTCTCTCTCTCTCTCTACACTTTTCTCTAATACTCCTATATATTTCACCTAATTACACAATTATCCTACCTATATAAACCCATATTTTCTCAATTTCTCTCAATCTAAACAATTGAACAAGAACAAACCCTAACCCTTAAGTCTTAAACTTGTCGCCACTACCATTCACCCTTAGCCAACTTCATATTGCCGTTCGCCGATGCCGATTTTATCTCTCCAATCCAGCCAAACTTCAACCAAAGGTAAAATTAATGCGGCAGGGATGGGCCTCCAACATTCCCCATGGGGCGAGGATGGGGAATTCATGCCATCCCCATAACGAGGACGGAGCAGGTATAGGGATAGTGAATGAGATCCCTGCCCTGCCCCGCCCCATTGCCATGCCTAGGTTTGGGCTTAGGAAAACATATCCTTGAAATATTAGGTTTTACACTTTAAACCTAGTATATAAACCTATTTTTCTCTCGTATGAGTGTTGTATAGTAAATCATAAGGCAAATTACATTCATTGTAACGAGAGAGGTGAGACAGTATTTTCAATAATATTGACTCTGTTGGACATAACCTGTTAATTAGGTGAACAAAAATAAATCACGTGTATTATTCTTTCTCTTTACTTGTGTGTGTTTACTGTTTTTGATTTCATAGTACTCTAGATTGTTTCAAATCGAAGGCTAGACAGATTGAGCCCTGTTTGCATCTATTTATGATATATTACTTGATGTAATCCAAGAATATCTTATCATTCTATGGTTTTCAACCACGTTACTTTCAAGGCAGTAATAATAAATATAAATAAACCTGGACTGGACTCCCCATTTTATATAAAATACAACATCTTTGAAGACGTTTAGTTCACCAGTTTTTTTCTCGTCTAGTATTGATAATAACATTCATAAAATCCATTGAGCATATTAATAAAATACAAGAAGGGGAAAGTTTTTATCTGTATTAGGATTTGATTTAGAATTTCTATATCTTGTTTTATTTATCATTATAGTATATTATAAAAAGCCAAAGAAACGTTACAGCAATTTTCATGGCAACACATCTATGCAACAATTTTCACCCAGGTAATTAACTTTGACAGAAACTAAATTAAAATCAGCTCATATTTAATTTAACATCTTAGCTGCTTAATGAAGATTTCAAAGTTGTTCATTGATGATCCACCTTCACTGCCACTCTTTCTGGCCATTTCTTTCAGTTGAGTCACATTATCTCTTATACCACCATCACATAGCAATTTATCCAACTTTCTTCTTATTTCATGGCTTGAAATGATTCCATTTGTTTCAATATTCAATCCTAAACCCGCCTTCCAAACCTCACAAATGTAACTCTTGACGAGGAATTGGTCAGCAAAATAACGCCAACACAGAAAGGGAACCCCCATACTAAGTCCCTCCATGGTTGAATTCCAACCACAATGACTTACAAAACAAGCAATCGAAGAGTGGGCTAAAACCTTCTCTTGTGGTGCCCATTCTGTTATTTTGCCGCGACTGGCTACTCTATCCAGAAACCCTTCTGGGTATTTTATAATGGAACCATCCATAAGGTCTGATCTGACTACCCACAAGAATGGCTGACCCGAAAGTTCAAGTCCTAGCGCCAATTCTTCGAATTGGCACTGGTTGAAAATTGCTATGCTACCAAAGGCAACATATATGACTGATTGGGCAGGCTGTTTATCAAGCCAGTGTAAACAAGTTGAGTCCTCGGGCCAAAAGTTTCCGGTCGGTTTTCCAGGATGATTTATTGAAAGTAATGGACCGATAGGTAAGAGGTTTGGAATCAAATCGCATATCGAAGAGTCTAGTTCATAAAATGAGTTGCAAAGAAGCCAGTTGGAATTTTTGACAGCCTTGTTGGCATATTCTACATATCGGAATATGATGTTTTGCCTGATTGGATCACCTGGACAGCTCCATATGAATTCAGAAGGGATCATGGCAGGCAATTCCGGAGAAATCTGGATCTTTTCATTTGTTAAGGGAGTTCCTACAGAAATTCAAAAATCCCATATCAGAACAAGCCAATTAGAAAATGTTACAACAAGATTATATTGAAATTTACCATTATGATCAATAATTTTGGCTTGAATAAGCTCTTGAATATGAAGACTCAATGCAAATCCTCCAACAAGGCTAGGCCAAAACATGGCTCTCTTGATGCCCATCTTCTCGGCAACATCTGGAGCCCAAGCAGTCGTTGCATCAGCAATGACACAGCTGATCTTTTCATCACATGATAAATTTATCTTCTTAATCAGATCCTCCAAGTGACCAGGCATGACATTCACCATAGTTTCACTAAGTTGTATCCGATCTTTTCGCTCATCCTGACGATCAATGCCATCGGGGATCACCACCATGTCAACCTAGCAATCTTCTTTACCCTTTTCTGACATGGCCGCCAGGACTCTGGCATGTATGGATTCTGTGTTCACAAATGTGACTTTGATGTCATGATCAGCAAGCAGATGACAGAGCTTCATCAATGCCCCTATATGGCCTTGTGCAGGATATGCAATTGCTAGTACATGAGGTCGCTTGCCCATTATGCAAATCACAAATTTTTCAGGTCTCAGTTGCTACTATTGCTAGTTGCTTTCACTTGCAAATATATAGGCAATCCGCCTTGTTTTTGGGTCATTTTGATGGGCAAGTCTTGTTTTGTAGTGCTTCAGCATTTAGTGCCATGAAATTTGTACATCTTCTGCCCGTCCGCATAATTTTCCTTTGTCAACTCCTCCCCATTTGGTTTAAGCTAAAACTGTTAGCCTATATGTTTAATTACAGAAATAAAATTGCGTCCAATTCTTTGTGTGAACTCTGGCTCAAGCTAAGGAGCTAAACGTCGAAATTATAGCTGAGGTATTCCGCTTCCATTTGTAACTTCTCATATACACTTTCTCTTGTGGGGCTTCAAGGGTTATCTTCTAAGGATTTGTTCTAGTCACTTCTTATGATGGGGCTCAGATTGGTCCCTTACCCAATTTTAGATTGAAATCAAGGGGGACGCGCTCTGAGCCTCACTATTTGCGATAGATAAAAGGTAAATCCGAACCCCACTATAGGAAATGACATGGCCCACCCTAAATTTAAAAAAAAAAAATACCAATATATACAATATCTAGATTTTGACTCACCTTAACAGAAATATTAATGGACAAAAATGTTAATATGCAATTAGTTTTTATTTTGGCCCACCCTAACAGAAATTTCTGAATCCGCTGCTGGAAATGATTAGGACAATTCATAAGAAGTAACTCTTAAACCAGTCAAAAAAGGTAGATAAGAGATGTTACAGCATTATTGTGCAAAAAAATTGAGCATGGAAGAGAAAACATGAAGCTACTCGAAGCTCAGATTTCTTTCACAGACAGAAAAGTTTTAGTTGGAATAGGCAAATTCTTGTCAACAACAGTTTGTATTGAGTATATTCTAGGGTATCAAGTGCAGAATTAGTTATGAACATAGCACAAAGCATACAGAATAATGCCCCGTTTGTTCATATAAAAAACTTTGA